GTCTATTCCCCCCTCCCATCAACTATACTAATGAAACAGAACAATGAAATAAGAGAAAGTGTTTCAGGCCAAAATTCTAAAAGGAATATAATTGCCTGACACCAACATTGCTGCAGGTTCTTCATATTGTTCCTTTAAACTGCATGATGTGGGAAGGGGATTTATATAATATTTCTCTGGATTTCAAGGTGAGAGCTCAAAGCCGAGACAAACAATTGGAGGAGCGGATGCTTTCTCACCAAGAGGATGACAACAGTAGACATGCTACCAGACACCAGGTAGTATTTTTAAATTTTATATGTATTGTTCAAGTATGTGCTGGCTTTAGAACCCCAGCTGGCAATTGTCTTTCATAGTGGTCATTGTACATCAAACTGTTTTCAAACATTAAAGTAATTTTGTGATGGATAAGATTCTGTCTGAATATATGGCAGCTTAATTTGAAATGCATGCATCTTTTTATTCAACTATTTATTTGTTAAATATATTTTGTTCTTTTGTGACTATTGCACACATCTTTTTGTGTGTTTGTTTGCTCAGAAAGAGGGAAGGAAGATGATTCCATGTGTGTTTATTACTTAAGAGTTGCCACATGGCACTATGACAGCCATGGACATATAAATAATATTTCCAGCTCATAATTTCATGCTGTAGTGTAGCATTATAAAGAGCTGCTCTTCTGATAAACTGGGGGGAAATGTATAAAACAGGTGCCATACAGTATTGGAGAACCCATGGAATGTTGGTGAAACAAGATACAGAACTTCATACAATATGGTGCAATAGTTAATGGTCCTGTTGTGCGAACTTCAATGTTCCAGCAATGCTGCAACTTGAAGGGCATGGTTATGCACCTAAGTTTCACAGATACCTCCAAAAATGTAACAGAGCCATGTAGCTGGTGTCAGACAGATTTAAAATAGTCCCTAGGTTTGTCAGTGTGTGTCCCTCTACTAAGCAAACATTTTGTTTCTTATTCCCTGCAAGGCACCAACTGAAAGACAATTGAGATACAAAGAGAAAGTTGCAGAGGTGAGAAAGAAGAGGAATGCAGGCTTAACCAAGGAGCAGAAGGAAAAATACCTGGTACAGAAACCTCATTTCTTTTCCTTAGAGAGCTGAACATGGGAGAATGAGTCCCACACCCACAAGTCCATCACATGGACCAATCTTCCACTGCCACGCTGGCAGTTCCACCCATCCAGTTCCGGTCAGGCTCAGAGGTGTAGAAACAAAATATGACCTTGGTTTCTAGAAAGGAATTTTATTTTGACAACAAAACATTCTACTCCTTACTATTCCCCCTCCCAATTCCCCACTAATGAAACAGCATAGTAGAAAAGAATATTAGTGTGGCAGGTCAACGATCCTAAAAGGAACCGGCTGTAGGCCTGACACATACAGGTGAAACTCGAAAAATTAGAATATCGTGCAAAAGTTCATTTATTTCAGTAATGCAACTTAAAAGGTGAAACTAATAGATAGACTCATTACATGCAAAGCAAGATAGTTCAAGCCGTGATTTGTCATAATTGTGATGATTATGGCTTACAGCTCATGAAAACCCCAAATCCACAATCTCAGAAAATTAGAATTTTTCCAGGGCGCTGCTCAGGAGAGTCCAAGCAAGGGTTAAATACAGCCAAACTGCCCAGAGCTGAATT